TGACTTTTTAACTTTTTATGTTAATTTCCTTTGGATTTCCTTTTTAGCTCTTTAATTTCCTTTTTATGTTACTTTCTTAAAATAAAACTATTTTATTTGGATTTTTTAGGTGAAATGGGAATTTCTAATACAAAGTTCAATTCTAGAATATTCATCAATAATGATGAAATTCCTGAGATCTTGGCTCTCAAAGGGAGGTAACCTTAGTTTTTGATACTATTTTTGTTTTTTAAATCTAATTTCTTAAATTATCTTTTGCAATTAATGCTTTTTTTAAACTGGGTAAATAGGATTCCAATGGGTGAAGAGTCGAGTGGTCAAATATTGAGTCATGCATGCTCAACCACTTATTCTTTAGATGAAGAATTCTTAGTGGCTTTTATACGAAAAACTATTATTGAGATTAAAGACTGCCAAAATGTAAGCACTGCCCTTTTAAGGATAAAATTTTGTTATAGTTTATTAATTTGTTATTTTTTGGATTACTAACTGATATTTTTCTCTGATAATTTAGGTGGTGACTTGTGTGACTCTTGCAAAAATCACACATATTGAATCTACAAGTAATTGGTATTACAAGAGTTGCAACACTTGCACAACTGGAGTTGTGTCTGATTTTGGAATTTGGTATTGCAGAAATTGTGAGAAACGAATGAAGAATCCTCGAATCAGGTTCTGTCTCATTTGTATATCAATTTTTTCATTTTTATTTTCTGCCTTGAAATTGCAGAATATGCTAATTAAGTTAGTTTTGTTGATAAAAATATATTATCTCAATTTTATTTGATGAAAACATGTGTATATTTCTCCATTAACTTAGATTCTTATATCAATGAATTTTTCTAAGAAAGTTTTGATATTCTTCACTTATGTATTTTAATTATTTTTTTTGAATTTTTATAGGTATTGCATTCAAGTTAGAGTAGTTGATGAAACTGATGCAGCTTCCTTAATTCTCTTTGACTCTGCTGCTTTGGATTGTCTAAAAAAATCAGCTTCTGAATTGCATGATTTGCATTTGAAAAGGGTATTTTGTAATTTATTTTGAACAATTTCCTAATAATTGCTTCAAATATATGTGAATTTGCTTGTGTAGTTTCTTAAATTTGTACAATCTCTTTTTTCAAGGGTGGTGATCAAGAGAAATATCCTGAAGAGCTAGATGTTTTGAAGAATAGGAAAATTATATTTAGAGTCAACATAAAGAAACATAACATCAATTCTTTTGAAGAAACTGCTTACCATGTTGGGAAGGTGTGCTGTGATGATAACATTATTTTGGCCTTTTTGAATTCCAACAAACCATCAGGGGTATGTTTTATATATATAGATTTTATTTTAAAATTTATTGTTTAAATAAAAAAAACTGTTTCTTAATATATTTTTTATTTTTATCATGAAGGAGTCATTTGAACTTCAAAATTATTCATTTGATGGTGACTTCAATAATACAGGAAAAGAAAAGATTGTGATGGTATGCTTCTTAAAATTAAGTAGATGTATTCTTATTAATAAGTAAGAAAACTCTTCTATCAAATTGTTTAACTTATGTTGATCTTATCATTGTAGGAGGAAAATTCTCACATTGGTGATAATGAGGATCCACCGAATGATGTCCAATCTTCATTAAAGAGGAGTTTTAATTGTGAGTCCATGGAAGGAGAATCTGATGACCTATTGCAGCATTCTTCAACCAAGATGAAGAAGATTATAAAGATTGAGAAAGACTAATGTTCATGCTGCAGATATGATAAACATATTTTGAATTGTGGGATGAACTTTCTACTGAAGTTGTACTTTTTTATGGGACCTTAATTTGAGGTGTTGTTTGTTTTGTTTAGTTGTTTTGTGTATTGGCTTCCATAAGACATTTTTCTATTATTAATGTTTTGAAAATGGTAATGAAATCTATGTTAATTTGTGCTATTTCGGCTTACTGTTTTTGGTTACTTTATCTTTTTAAATTATTTATTACTTATTGTTATTAGTTAAAAACTTTGTAGTAGGATTGCAAAGTTTTACAACAAACCTTTACTACTTTGGACAGTGGTTATGATTATTTTAGGTAACATTTTGAGCTCTTTAATACTTTGAATCTTACTAATTTATCACAATTCCTCAATTACTTTAATGTCACTTGCATGCTGTTTCTGCATTTATTGACAACAGTTATGACTATCTTGGGTAGCATTTTTAGCTCTTTAATACTTTGAATATTTCTAATTTATTACAGTTCCTCAACTACTCTTATGTCACTTGAATGCTGTTTCTGCATATATTTGAATGTTTATATTTTTTCTTTAAAAACAATGTTATGTGTAATCACATTTCATGCAATAAATTGATTTTTTTTTTCATTCCTATTTGAATTCCATTCATTATCATCATGATGGGAAATGTTTATAATCTATATATGATCAATAAATTGATTTATACTGTTAGTATTTCAATATTTAGAAAAGGTATTTATTGTCTGGGCTAATGGGTTCTTTAAATAATGAATGGCTATTCAGCTTCTGCCTTAATTGCTTTTAGGGCAATTGTAAGTTTACATGTTTATTTTATTTATATATTTTATTTATTTATCTACTAAATCATTAATTGAAATTGAAGTTGTGAGCTGACTGGTTGATCCAAATCCAGCTGTGAATGACTATCTGTGGACTCAAACCAGGCAACTTTATTGTAAGTTGCTAAATTTATCTACTTTAATTGCTTTTGAAAATGACTCACCATCTTCTTCCTTTTTTCTTTTTTCTTTTTTTGTTCTTTTCTTTCTCTGGCCGAAGTCTCCATGTCTTTCATTTTTTAATTTCCTTCTTTCACTTGCAGCAAACATGTGTGTCTTTTAAACTTTTTATGTTAATTTCCTTTATTGTCTTTTTGTTTGGATCCCTTTCTTCATATTCATTTGCATTTTTTAATGGTTGTTGTGTTTGATTTTCTTAGGGATGAACAACAAAAAAGGGAAGCAAGACTAAGAAGAAGATATATCATGGATCAGAAACGTCCATATAAACTGTCCAGTCTTGAGATGTCCTGTAATCCTTTGGAATCCAATCAAATATCATCAATTGCTGACCATGCTACCCATCCTTTAAACAGAGCAGCTTTAAGTGATATTTCGAATGGTCTGCAAAATAAACTCAATTTTTATTTTTTTTATAATTAATATTGGCTTATTAACTCTCCACATCTTTTTTTTTTTTTTTCTCAGATTCCCTTAGACCTCTTCATCAATCTCCTTTGAAGAGGAAGAAATTGGAGAATTCAAAAATGCAGGTCCATAATTCCATC